TGTTATCTCTCCTAGGTTTGCGCAGTACACCGACAGCACACTCAGGTGCCATTGCGAGTATCCTGGGCCTGGATGAGCGTGCGGACGAGATGCGTAGTTTCTTGGGTTGGGAGTCTGGTGGGGCTGAAGCCCTGGCGGAGGAGGCTGCAGGAGACGATGATGATGCATTCAAACAGTTTTGGTCTTGGCAAACTGGTGAATATTATAAGTGTGATAAGTGTGGTTGGACGCCTGACACGTCCGATAGAGTGATGATGGGTAAGCGCAAGTACAACTCCTTGCTCAGTGTGCAGGCGGACAGGCACTGGAGGAAGTGCCAGGGCAAGCCTGCGCCCAAGATCGGGAAGATCGTGCACTCGCATATCTCCCAGTTTCTCGCGAACTCTGCCAAGATTCGCGAGAACGTACGCCAGCGTGGGTTTGCCAAGCATCTGTTGTGGAAGGCAAAGCTACCTATCAGTATTCAAGAGGCTGTGTGTGAGTATGATCCTCGTACGGTGTTGACGATCCCAAACTCCACGAAGAACTACACAGCCTACAAGTGCACGCGGTGTGGCATCCAGAGGGCGCTGGGACAGGCGCCTTGGAATATATGCAGTGGGAGACATAATGAAGTTACGCGGAAGCAGTTCTTGACAAGTACGGTCGGAGTATCACGTATGCGGCATTACTTTGAGGAGGAGCAGAAGCGCATCCAGAAGAAGAAGGCCAACTTCGGACCCGACAAGCGTGAGAAGAGGAAGAAGTACTGGGCCGAGTACTCCAAGAGGCCCGAGCACAAAGAGAGGAAGCGGATCCAGAACCAGAAGCTGGACAAGAGGAGGTTGAGGAGTGGCCCCGAGCGCGAGCGCTACCTGATCCAGAAGCGCAAGCGCGGGAAGGAGGCCTGGAAGAAGAAGGTTGCTGCGCGGACGACGTCGGCCTCGGCGTCAGCGTCTGCGTCGAGACCATCATGCTGAGGGTGCCCCGACCCCCGCGACCCGCTCCGCGGGGGTGGGGAGGCACCGGCAGTGAGCGGCCAGATGCGCTTGGCCACGATCAACGTCACAGCTCTGAACGCCGCCAGGTTGGAGGAGCTGCTCGCGCACGACGACCTGAAGGAGGTGGACTTCTTGGCTTTGCAGGAGGTGCGCCTACATACGGAGAAACCACGGTGGGCGTCAGCCACGGCTCAGAGACTGGGTTGGAGGTGTGCTGTCAGTGTGCCGCCTGGGAAGAATGCGAAGTCAGTTACTATGCAAGGGGGGACCGCTTTGTTTTGGCGGCCCCGCGTTGGTGGAGTTAAAGTTTTCCGATCTGAGAGTCGCAGGTACATGGGCGTACGTGGAGCTTTTGGTACGATTGTATCTGCATATGGACCCGCGTCGGTCCCAAGTACTGAATGGATGGATGAAGTTTTTGATTGGACTAAAAGTTATTGCTGCAGGAAAGCCCTGGATTATCCTTGGGGATTTAAATTGGAGGCAGTCTTATCAGCAGCGTGTACCAATCCATGCGACCGTATGCCAGATGACAGCACCGACAACGTTGGTCTTGTGCAAGGTATCCCGTACCATGGCCTGGTGTTGTGTACGACATCCTGGAGTGTGATGGCGGGACCTACGACGAGATTGAAGCGGACATCGATTTTCGAGCTGGATCAGAATACACTGGTCTTACCTCAGGATGCTGAAGTATTGCGGGCAGACGTGGACCAGACCTTACCTATGTTGGGGAGGACGCACACGATGACGCAAAAATGGACACGCTGGCATGCACGGGCCAACCGTGTGATGGAGCTGGGGGTCGAGTCGGGCATACTCATACGTAGTGGGAGCGCCGAGAGACCCAAAGGATCGATTCCAGAAGAAAGGCCTGTTGCATCGACGCCGAAGCGCAGGCCGAACGAGCCCATCATCTTGTCTAGGCTGAAGAGATTGGGCCGAAGCATATCTGAGCAGTTGAGGAGGAGCCCACCGAGCGTGAAGTTGGATGGCCACCAGCTCGACGTGTTCATTGAGTTTTGTCTGCGGCATGTTATTGACAATGGATGTGCTGGTCTACCGAGCCTGGGCCGTGCACATGATCGAGTATATGATGCGATTGCTAAGATGGAGCGCCGCCTGAGGGCGGAGGACAGTTCATCATGGAAGCAGATTTTTGCCAAAGAAGTTATTGACCCTGAATGGTGGAGAGCAGCGAGTTCGGTCATGCATGACCCGACGGAGTGCCCTGCCTTCACAGCTGATGACATGTCCGAGGAGTGGCGCAAGATCTGGCGCCCCGAGGGATTCAATGGCGAGGCATGTTCGATATCGTGGGTGGAGCATGCTCGGCGGATGCGTCGCCCCCTCCCTCGGAGCAAGGCCCAGGCGGGCTGGAGTCCGAGTTGGGAGCAGTTCCTGCGAGCCATCGCTCGCGGGAAAGGAAGCGCTGGCTATGACGGCTGGACAGCACGAGAGTTGAAGATGATGGCCGTGACGTTCGAGTTCCTAGTGCAGGATTTGTACGATCTCTGGCTTGACACGACGAAGTTCCTCGGCGCCAATGGCATGTTCAAGACTGTCCCCGTGGAGGAGAGGTCCGAGGATGTGGTGAACTTGCAGAAGCTACTTTTCTCTTGGAGAGTTGTGGGTATCCCAAAGAAGTGTGGAGCATCCCGACCGATCGGGGTGGCGAGTGTATTGTTGAGAAGTTGGTTGACAGCATGTGAAGAAGCTTTCCCATCCCCGCAGGCAGCCCAGTATGCCTGCAAGACGGAGTCATCAGTATGTCAAGCTGTGTGTAGTTGGCTGAAGGCGTGCATCACCGCTCAGGCGGGCATGGAGCGTGACCTCAGCAAGTGCTACGACCAGGTTCCCCACGAAGTGGGGATTGCGTCGCTCCATGCTGCTGATGTGCCATCGGACCTGGTGGCGGTATCTTTTGCTGCGTGGACGGGGCCGAGAAGATGCCAGGTGGCCGGTGCTCTTGCCAAGGAAGAGGTGTGGCCATCCCGAGGATTGGCGCAGGGCGACTCCTGCGTGCCCAAGGTGCTCTGCTCCGTCTTGGCCACGTGGGAGGTCGAGGGCGAGCAGTTCTTGTTCATGGACGATCGCTCGTTGGTCTGTGAGTCGGACCAGCAGTTACGCAACGACATCGACACGACCGATCGTTTCGACCTCGAGACGGGGGCCGTGGAAAACAAGGGTAAGCGTCAAGAATGGCATCGTGGTGAGTTTCGCCGTATCGAGCATATTGGAGTCGAAGCGGTGCCAGATGATCCCACGGCCCCCGTCACCCCAGCGGGAGGCTGGAGGAAAGTGTATGCAGCTATCGCCGCCTTGCGACAGCTCCCTGGAAGTTCCAGGACTCGACTACGTGCTGCAGGTTCATATGTTGTGCCGAGATGGCTATGGTGCTGTCCTGTGTTCACGCTACCACCTGCAGATGTAGCGGCGAAGCTTATGAGTTCAGTACTACGTACGAGATGCCTGTGGTGGTGTCGAGGCCGCTTTTGGGCCCTGCATATTCAGTACCACCCAGTCTTTTCAAATGTCTTGACGGCGGCCCGTCGTCTTACAGAGTGGGAGATTGACTTCAACCCCTGGGTCGAGCACAACTTGCAGAATTTCTTCGAGGCTGTGGGCTTGGACTACGTGCAGTACGACACCGAGAGGGGGGTTAGATTTCAGATGTTGGAGGATGAGGATGATCCAAGAGTGAAGCGTATCTTCCAGAACCGTCGTGGGTTTTGGACTTCTGAAGGAGAGCGATCATTTCATGTTCTACGTGCTGTATGTCGGCTGAAGGCTTTGACCAAAGCAACGGCGGCACGACGAGACTACCCTGGTATGGAGGATGTTGATGTGGAGGCCCTTTCGGGCAAAGCTTTGAAGAAGTTTCGTGATGCACTCGCCCCGAGTGAGTGGCAAAAGGTGATGATATACATGTGTGGAGCGGCCAGCTCCCACACGCGCGGAGGAAATCATGATTTCACGTGTGACCCGTACTGTCCGTGCTGTGGTGAGGCTTTCTGGCCATCTGTTCGTCACTGTGTGACGGAGTGTGCCGCCTTCGCGGATTTCAGAGAGCAGCTGTCTGAGTTCTACAGTGTGCCCGTGAGCTGGTGGACCTCGCAACCGAGAGTCACGTCGAGCTCTGGGTGGATTACATACGGTGCACATCGTGTGGCAGAACGCAGGTCAGAGTTGATGGTGATGCAAGTCCGAATGGGAATGTACTATGTGGCGACTGCCAAAGGAATGCGACGACCTGACAGACCGTATGCGAGGGGCCGACTCTTACCGTGAGATATCATTCTTGCTAAAGAGTTGTGCTAGGAATGAAAATGTCGAACTGATCTTGATCAGATCTTGATATTATGTATGCTGGGATTGTTTTGCTGTGCTTGAATTTCCACATCCTGATCTTTGCGATATACTGATGTCTTGGGAAGTTGCAGTTACGATTATCTTGGCAATTCGATGTATATCCAGGTTCAAACCTACGATCGGTTGTTCCTGAAGTACACAAAACCCCGTAAGGAGGATCAAGCCCCATGTGGGAGCTGTTGCGCCGGAGGGGGCCTCGGACTATAGGCAGGATTGAGCGGGAGTAAGCCGGATCAAACGGGACCAAGCCGGCTTAGGCCTGACTTCGGACCAGGGCAAGATCAGAATTTGACCTCCCAGGAGCTGCATCCGAAGAGGTGTGTGTGTGTGATGGTTTTTGCAGCCTCGAGGCTGCGGGAGCCGCGGCCCGACGCCGCGAGGGTGCGTGCACGAGGCGTCCTCGCCTGATTCCTCTCCCCCGGTGTTCGGGAGCGGCCAAGAGGGGGGTGTCCAAGAGGGGGGGTGCGAATCATGACCGGCGGCATGTGCGCGGCCCAGCGGGGGGGCGGCCAGGGACGTAATGAAATAAGAAGAGGACCCATGAAGTCTGGGGAGATATCATGGCCCCCGCCATGATATCCCCCCCCCCCCCTAGTCATCACCCCCCTCTTTTCCGCCCCCGAGGTGTGTGCGGCGACCGGACTTCAAATGCCGGTTCTGGGAGCAGCAGCACGGCCCGTTCGCTTCCCCCCCGAGAAGAAGGACAAACGCCAGAAACATAAACTCCTGGCGCTCCTCGCGGACTTCCTGGATCTGCGCTGGACCCCCCCTCCCTGGCGCGCGGAGCGCGCAAAGGGGCGGCGCCGAAGGCGCCGCCAGGGGGGCCCAGCGCAGGTCCAAGAAATCCGCGCGGAGCGCCAAAAGTTTATGCTTCTGGCATTTTGTCTTCTTCGACTCTTACCCCCACCTCGCCTGACCTTCCAAGAGGGCTAAAAAACAGCACGCGACTTAAAAACCTATACCAAGGCTCTTCTACGTCTTGGTTTTAGGCTGTGTCGCCCAGTGTTTTTTAGGTTTGTAGGCCTCCAGTGCTGAAAAATAGCTCTCTGGAAGGTCAGGGTCCTCCACCTCCGCCCGCGCCTGCGCCTGGCCACCCTGGCCGGCGGCCAGCGGCCGGAAGGAGCGCTGCGGCGGCCCATGCCCACGCCGCTCGGCGGAGTCCCTGGAAGGCGTCGGCGAGGAGCGCGACACCGCGGCACGGAGGTGGGCCACACTGGACCCAGCAGAAGACTGTGCCTGTCGGCGGCCTCCCGGGGTGAGGCATATGCGCAATCCCGGAGGCCTCCCAGCTGGGGTCGTGGTAGACGAGGTCGGAGGATCGCGCCTCATCGTCGATGCATGACCGATGCAAGTAGGCGATGCATCGTCGACGTTTGCGATGCATCGGCGCCGTCGGCGCGGAGATCATCGGGAACCAGATCGAAGCGCATCGCCAATGTCATCGGCGATGCATCGGCGATGCGGCGCCATCCTCCGACAACATCTACTCGGACCTCATCTGGGAGGCCTAGACCTGCAGCGCGAGACCTTCGAGTCGCCAGGGGCCGGGGACGCGGGCGCAAAATCCACAGAGGGCGGCCGCACACCACCACCATCCCTGGACGGGGGCCCCTCCTCCGCCACAGCACGGTGCGCCACGAGACACTCCTGGTAGGAAAGCCAGAATTGGAGGCCCGGGACTTCGCATCAACACCAACACCGTGGAAGTGTCTCCACGGGGGGGAGGTGATCTTTGGATCTTGGTGCTGGTGGGAAGTTCCCGCCCACCTGAGACGCCCGAAGATGACCACCAGCAATGAACTCGGAATCACCTTCCCTCGGCGAGGCCTCCCGCCGATGTTGGTGCTGGTGCCAGCCCCTGAGGCCTCCGGCAAAGAGGATGCATCCCAGCGCCCAGTGCAGCCCCGACCAGGGATGGTGGCGGCACAGCTGCCGCTTCCGGGCAGAAGGCGGCATGCGCGGAGGCACGGGTTCAAAGGCCACCTGCTGCCACGCAACCGTGCCGCGTGCCACGCAGCCGGCCGGGAGCCCCCGCCACGTGAGCGACGGCTGGCCATCGCTCGGACGTCCATTCCCTGTGTTTTTCGATTTCGTGCGTGGTTTTTTCGCCAAGTGATCAAGGATGCTCCTCGATGGTCCTCGCCGGAGGAAAATGCACACGTCGGAGCGATGCTAAGATGGACAGGCAGAACGACGACGACGCTGACAGGCCCACGCCGCGGACTGCGCTGGCGGCCAACGCGGCACACCGCTCTGAGGAGAGGGCGCTCCCGCGCGCATGCGGGCAGTCTGCGCATGTGTGCGTCTGTGTGTGCGTGTGTGCACGAGTGTGTGTGCGTGTGTGTGTGTGCGTGTGTGCGCGTGTGTGCGCGTGTGTGCGCGCGCGTGTGTGCGTGTGTGCGTGTGTGTGTGTAAGTGTAAGTAAGTAAGTGTGTGTGTGTGTGCGCGAGTGCGTGCGCGTGTGTGCGCGTGTGTGCGCGTGTGTGTGTGTGCGTGTGTGTGTGTGTGTGTGTGTGTGTGTGTGCGCGTGTGTCTGCGTGTGTGTGCGTGTGTGCGTGCGTGTGTGCGTGTGTGCGTGTGTGTGTGTGCGTGTGCGCGTGTGCGTGTGCGTGTGTGTGTGTGTGCGCGTGTGCGCGTGCGTGCGTGCGTGCGTGCGTGC